GAGAGAAAGAGAAATGATAGGTAGATAGCGAGATAGTTGTTGTTAGGTGCCGTGGAGTTGACCGTGACTCATAACAACCCCAGGAACAACAGATCGGAACCCTGTTCTATCCTGCCCAATCCACAGAATCTCTGACACACTTGAACTCATTGCTGCAGTCACTGTGTTAATCTGCCTCTTATTATTAAGTTAATCTTCCTCTTATGGCTAACACTGAGAAGAATGGGAAATCCAGAAAACCTATTTGTACTTATGTGAAACCCAGACAAGAGCCTGTTGTGCAAACAGAGCAAAAGAACACTGCATGGTTTAAAATTAGGGAAAATGTGTGTCAAGGTTGTATCCTTTCTCTATACCTATTTTAATCTGTATACCTATATTTGATCCATATACCTATTTTAATCACCATACCTATATTTAATCTGTATGCTAAGCAAATTATTCAACAAGCTGTACTCTATGAAGAAAAATGTGGGCTCAGAATAGAAGAAAGACTCATCAATAACCTTCATTATGTGGATGACACAACCTTGAAAGTAAGGAGGACTTGGGCAGGTGGGCACCAGCGGCTGCAGCTCCCTTCAGCCAGCCACACACCCTCCACCGCTCCAAGCCACAGCCACTGCGCTCTGGTCCACTGCAACATGGCAAAAGTCACCAGCCCCACAGAGACCGAGTGGAGCCTTGAGTCCTTGATGCCCTGTTCCAGAAATACACTGGACAGGATGGTCACAACATTACCTGCTCAAAAATGGAGTTCCTGAACTTCATGATAGCAGAACTGGCTGCCTTCACCGAGAATCAGGACCCGCATGATGAGGAAACTGGACCTCAACTCTGACGGGCACCTAGGTTTCCAAGAATTTCTTAATCTTATTGGTGGCCTTGCTCAGGCTTGCCATGACCCTTTCATCAAGCATATTTACTAGCAAACATGAAGCACCGTTGAACCTGGCCAACAAGTTCAGCCCCCTCCCTCCAAGCCTCCTTGTCACTGTAGACTCCTCACAGCCCACAAACACCCTGATCTAGCCCACTCACCATGCCATGGAGGCAACCCCAACTGAGACTAATAAATAATCGGTGTGGTTTTTTTTCTTTTAAAAAAACAAAAACCCAAACTAACTAACTAAGGAGGGCTTAAAGCATTTGCTGCAGGTTAAAAATTGTAGTCTTTAATATGGATTGCATCTCAATACCAAGAAAACATAACTCCTCGCCACTGGACCAATCGCTAATATAAAGATGGATGGTGAAATGATTGAGACTATCAACGACTTTGTCTTATTTGGATCTACAATCAATATACTTGGTGTCAGCAGTCAGGAGATCAAAGGACATATTGCATAGGGAAAGTCTGCAGTCGGGAACCTCAATAAATTATTGACGAGTAATGATGTCTGTTTGAGAACTAAGGTGCACCTGATTTAAGCCATGGTCTTTTCAATCACTTGCTATGCATCTGAGAGCTGGACAATGAATAAGGATGACAGAAGAAGAATTGGTGGTTTTAAACGATAGTGTTGCAGAAGAATGCTGAATATCTCATTGCCAAAAGAACAAACAGATAAGCCTCAGAAAAGGTGTAGCCAGGCTGCTCTTTGAAGGCAAAGAAAACAAATCTTCATCTCACATACCTTGGGCATGTTGCTGCTGTTGTTGTTGTTAGCTGTCATTGAGTTGAGTATGACTCATAACAACCCTGTGAACAAAAGATCTGAACTCTGCTCTATCCTGCGCCATCCTCACACTTCCTGACCCACAAGAGCCCATTGTAGCAGTCACCGTGTCAATCCACCTGGTTGGGGGTCTTCGTCTCCTTCACTGACCCTCCACCCTTCCCAGCATCATGTCCTTCTCTAAGGAATAGCCGCTCCTGGCAACACGTGCAAAGTATGTGAAGCAAAGTCTCATCATTCCTGCCTCCAAAGAGCACTCCAGCTGCACCATCACCAAGATATACCCATTTATTCTCCTGGCCATCCATGGAATGTTCAGTGCTCTTCTCCAAACCCACAGCTCAAAGGCATCCATTCTTTTTCTGTATCTTCATTCACTATCCAGCTCTCAGATGCTTAGCAAGTAATTGAAAGACCATGGCCTAAATCAGATGTCCCTCTCTTCAGAATAATCTCTCCTAACAACATGTCTAAATATGTGAGATGAAGCTTTATCATCTTTGCCTCCTCAAGATTAACCACAATTTGGGGAGGGCCATGACGCTGTCCTGGTTCCAGCGCCTGGAGCTCGTGCTCTTCACCACGGCCTTCCTGTGCAAGGCTGTGGCAGCCGCGGCGCTAACCCAGACGCAGGACTCCTTCAGTGGCAGCTGCCCCCTGTATGGTGTGGCAGCCCAGAATGGCTCCTCGCTGGCCTTGTCCAGTCCTTCAGCCTCTTCCCTCTGCTACTTTGTGGCTGGCGTCTCGGGTCTCCCGGCCCTCTACTGCCTGCTTTTTCTGCTCTTCTGGATCTACAGCAGCTGCATCGAGGACTCTCACACAGGCCCAGGAGGGCTCCGCATTGCACTGACGACCTTGGTTATAGCCCTCTTCCTGATCCTGGTTACTGCCTGTATTCTTCGACTTGGCACCAGTTCTCTCTGTAGTTCCATCGTCAACTTGAAGATTGCAACTAGCCGCCCTAAAGCCCAGAAGATTTCATATTATATTGCAATATATATTATTATATATGGTATAATAAAAT